AATAATAATGATAATCGTAATAATAATAATAATAATAATAATCGCAATAATATATGCATGTATATATATATATATAATATATAGGTATCATTTGTTTATGACTCTCTCTTCTTTTCTCTCTTTCTCACACACTTTCGCTCTTGTTCTTTGTATACGTGTACATCTGTCGGTAATTTAATTGCGATAATAAACTATGATTCTTTTCTTTAATATATATAGATGTTTATGTATATATATATTTTTTTAATTTAATATATATTATATTAAAATCTATTTGATAGTACAGTCTGCTTTTTAAGCCTCGTAAATTAATCTTCCTCTTTCATTTTCTCTGACTCTCTATTTCTTCCCTTCTTTCTTTCGCAACAATGGGCTTATCTTTGCAACAACGCGTATCGTGCGAGAAATCTACATATAAGAATAATCAATATGTATTGACTGGTGGTCCCTTTCATAAAGGGACGAACGAAAAACAAGACGAAAAAATCTCGGCACGACACCTTTGCAAGATTTACGCGCTCACATAAATATAATATATAATATATATATATATATAGATTTATAATATATATACTCTATATCGTAATTTTTCACGACTCCCCCACCTCATTTCCTACTCATCTTCCACATCTTCCTTTTTCTCTCTAACAAGATCCATTAATTAAACATGTACCAAATGAACATGTTCGTAACCCACCGGCGAGACTATCGCACCCGCGATGAGAGCGTGAGAAAGTTACGGTCGTAAGAAAAAGCGCAATGCCAATCGATGGTCTTGCACTTCCTTCGAGATGCAACAAACAGGCAGTTGCAGACGCACGAGATGCGCATTTCGCGATCTCTGTGTACAATTCGACGTGGTGATAAGGATGCCTTTCGCGATTTTAAAATTTTATACAATGCAATAAATAATATATATATATATATATATATATATATATATATATATATAAAGTGCAATAAAATTTGGTGATAAAATTTGAAGACACAACGAGAGTATAAAATTTCGTACACAACATGTACACAATTTAACAAATATATCAACAAAAATCTATCTAATCCGTAGATCAAAATCCAATTTCGAATGTCATACACAGAATAATCTCGGAGCTTATCTGTTATAAATGGCACGTACGATTCTCGTAGCCTCTGTATAAATATTTTCCGAGAAAAATTTTGACAGTAAAACTCGAGCGGTATAGCACACGTCGCAGATATAGTGGCCATCCTCGCACGAATAGAGCGATCCCTCGCCACATGACACCTCACCCTTGACTTATGAACACTTTTTACAATTTGAACACTAATTTTGTACGAATATACGGGGACCTGACATATATCTTTCATTTTTTTTCTTCTGTCTCTCACAAAAAAATCACCTTTTTCCCTCGATTGTCCCCTTCCTACAATTGGCAACGATTGAAAGCGCTTTTTAACGACCTTAACTCTAAAAAGTTCAACAACGTCGAGAAGGCAACGAACGTGAGCGAATTTCTCCTCTCTTTTAAACACTTTTAAATTTGAACGAGTCTCAAGATCAGTCGCTGGATCTTCAACGCTTTCCTAACAGCGATTTATCCTGATCACGAGCCTTCAGATGTCAGCGAGGAATCCGGAGCAAGCTTGAGAATCGGCCGTTCTGCGATTATCATTTGCGTGCTATCATCACGTGTCGCGAAGTGCCCTCTGTAACTGCTCTGATTGTCACAAAAGGATGTGATAACATTTGTAACGAATACAGGACGCTCGTCGATTTGCGTATCGCAAAAGTGAATTTTATAACGGTAAAAAGATAGAAAATAAAAAAATTGTGATAATTCTAAGAAACATCAGATATCTACAAAAGATTTGCTCTAAATTGTAGATTCGTTTCAACGTTTTGTAATATATACATAGAACGTTTTTAAAGTTTATATTTTAGAAACATTCTGCAGATCGAAGGAGCAAGCGAAAGCTCAGTGACGAGATAAATAATTAAATTATTCTAAGCTACCAGTATATATGTATGTATGCATGTATGTATGTATATTTTTATGTGTGTGTGTATATATATATATATATATATATATATATATATATGTAAAAATTCATGATCCTTTGGTATACGCAGATTTTTTAAAAAGCGCGGAAGAGAAAATTACAAAATGTGAGAACAATAAAATCACGCCAGTATAGCGATCTTCAGTTCTCACACCCTTTTTCGCACTTCTCACGCAGACATCGACTAGGGTGAACCAAAGCTATTATTGTACAAATTGATAAAATCATGACCCTCAGAAACCGCACACCGACAAGAGTCCTGCAGATCCCGTACTTAAAAAAAAAAAGAAAAAGAAAAAAAAGAAAAACAACAAATGACGATAACAATGATAAATCTGATTTGTTAAAATCAACCCGCTCGAATTCGAAAAAAATTGCAACATCCCAGAAAAACTTTCGAAAAATTATCATTATCATGTCAAAAGGACCTGCAGACGTTCTTTTTTCTAGTGTAACCCTTTGCCCTTCGATAATCCTTCTCATCTTTCTCATTCTTTAATTAATTGAGTTAGTCTTAGCCTCTCAGTGATTATCAAATGTGAGTGTATTTAATTATTATTTGCTTGCCTCTCTTCCTCTTAAAAAATCGATTATAAGCTGTCTAGCCGCTGCCTTTTTGCATTTTTTTTGTTTCTCCCATTTTCGTGAAAATCTACCCAATCCCCCCTGAATTTTTCTATTGTATCGCATGCACGCGCTGGACACACGTTGAACGGGTTTGCAACAACCCATCGTGGAGCCAGGCCGTGACCGTACCCCTTCACCCACCCTTGGCGCGATTTTCCTCTTAGGGGTCTTAGGGGATTCTACTGTTTGTAGACACTCTTTGGTCCATCAATTTGAATATTGAGTAATTGACCTGACGGCGCGAGATCCTGCTGCCACGAGGAATACTGGGTGCCAAACTTTCGATTACGATTACATATAATTTCAGAGAAAAATATGAGACGATATAAATAAATTGTAACAAGATACATTTACTCTTAAACTTTTGCAATAATAAGTAATCTCTTTATATTTATATTCAATTGATTAACATTTTCACTGCCGCAAGATTCAGCTAATAATGTTTAATTCTATAAAGTGAAAGAAAAGCATTCCATTTAATCATGTTATGATTGGACATAGTTCATCCCGATTACTCAGTCTATTTATATTACAAATGACGACTTAGATTTGCAATTTCAGTATTCACTCGAGTGAAAAGAATAAGTGCGGGTATTAAACATACATCGCTGACTAGTTGATCCTTCTGATAGATTATAGACAGTGAACGTGTCAATGATATTTCAGAATATTCTAATTTAAAATTATAAAAAGCAAAAAATATTATGCCTCTTTAATTCAATAATAATTACCTGGCACAATCAATTAATTATTATAATTATTATCATGAGCTTTGAGCACTTTCCAATCGGTCATGAATTTTTATAGATTTTAACATTATATAACATTATACAAATAACAATATACAAATTGTAAATATCTGCGTTTTTAATCGGCACCGCGCATCCTGGGCTTCTGAGGCTCACGAAAGATTTCTCCAGGACGTTCTTCGTCCTTTCACGCTTGGGATAAATAATCTACAAGGATCGATAAGAGGCTCTTTGGTCCATCGAAGTTTCGAATATATTGCTGATAATTGACCTGAGTGCGCGAAAATCTACGGCACGGCCCACCACCCCCTTTAACAAAACAATTCCGCAGTTTCTTCTGCCCAACAGACACCCTGCTCTTTTCACAGGTCTCTTTCGTTCTCCTACGTCTACTGCGCTATCTTTGCTGCCTTTACCTAACTGGTATTATAGAACTCTCTATTCGCTTAAAAGTACGTTCTCGGATCCCGACACGTCTTAGTGAGCCCCGTGAATAAACGCGGAATGAGTGCTCTATAATTAAAAAGTATCTCTTCAAATTCGAGGAAACATAATATCGCGAACACTTTCATTTAAATTTATGTAACGCAATTACTGCTCTATTTGATGTTTGTAAAATTTGGAAAACATTAATTTGAAACATGGGACGACGTAGTTGTTCTTGTAATCAAGTCCCACGTTTAATGCCGAACCTTATTTTTAAATATTTGTGTGTTCGCGCGCGCGCGCTTTCTTTTGTGAGAAATTAATTGGAGAATTAAACATTTATAAAACTTATAAAGAAATATAGTGAGGCAAATCGTAATCCGTTTGGGAATAATAAACTTTCTTCACCAATTTCATTAACGTCTTGACATATGAAAATCCTTTGACAAAAACGTGCGAGAGCACTTATTCCAGGATGGATTCGTATCACGGAGTCCGCTATTCATCATGGCGATCCGGTTCTTACGACTATAACTTTTTGTTATCTTTGCAACGCTAGATACCTTTTGAATAACGAACGAACAACACTGGTTGACCGCGCGAGGCAGGGACCCGTTCAACCCTGCCGCACGTTAAAGTAACAACAAAGATCTTCGTTACTTGTAATAACTGATTAATAGTAGTAGTGATAATAATAATAATTATTATGTAGCCTCTAGTCGTCTAACGTCTATGCCCAACTAGTGAAAAATTTGTATATAAATCGTCTCGCCCCTCTCACGGAGGGAGGGCGCTCGACGGAGTGTAAGGTGCAAAATATAGTAAGCTACGATCTCGTACTTTTAGTGCTTTCTCTCGCGACTAAGCCTCTAACCGCCATTACCGTACCATCGCGTGACCCACTTCGGTCGATGACAACATCCGATTGTTAAGATGTGTACCACAAGAATAAAATGACAAAGAGAATGTATATATGTACGTGTATGTGTGTGTGTGCGCGCGCGTGCGCGCGCGCACACACACACATGTAAATTTTATATTTTGTATATAAGGATTACGCAGACTCGATACTGATTCAAAGCTCGGAAGATTAAGTTTGAGAACTTGATGAATTTCGAAATATGAGCTAAAGATAAAGAAAAGATATAATTGAATAAATTTTTTTTCCTCTTAAAATCTTCTTTTCCTCTTTCGTGAAGGAACTTCCCCTTCGTGGAGAATAATCGATATCAAATTATTTTATCACTAACTCATGATTTTAAGCTGCTAGTTCATTAAAAAATAACGACACGTGGTTCGCGATATAAGTAATTATCTCGAAGTTAAATAAATTAAAAAAAAAAAAAATATTAGACGCCTAAAATCCTGCTTGCCGAATAATGCAAATATCTGTTATATTCTGTTCTTCAAATTCCTTTTATCATTACTACAATCTGCATCTTCAACCAATTGTAAGCTGAAGATAGTCTGAAAAAAAATTTCAATGAATAAATGATGGCTTTGATACAATGATGATAATAAATGTGTATACATTCGTGCTATATTCGTGTTTTGCGGAATGACAAATATCTAATGCTCTCACTTAAAACCCGTTAGTTGTTGTCTTTTATCTCAAGATCGTTTCCGTTCCTTTCTAATCACAGCAGCATTAGTATATGTAACGTACTGCTTTAAATTTTTTTATTTTCTAGTTTAATTTGATGTTCCTTTCTCTATGTTGTTACGTGATTCACCAAGTTCTCCACTCAATACCACGGATGTTCGAACCAAAATGAATTCAGCCGAACAGGACAGGAGAGTATGGTATGGCGGCAGTGTTAAGTTACTACTAAGGTGCCTTCAGTCTATCCAATGTCAGTACTATCTTGTATTTGGTGTCGTTAAAACCGTCCCTCTGCAGTCTTTCGCGAGATTACGCGCTTTCCCACTGTTCCATCCTTTCACCCCTTTTATCGCCGCTCTCCTCCAAAAAAATGCCTCGACGGCATTTTTTTTTTCGCGACCCAACGGCTCAACAACAACATGGCGAACGGTCATCGATACATATATATATTGCATTTACTCAGTCTACGTAGTTCCCTTATTACTTATATCGCGCGTGCGCGCGCACGTTTTACCCTGTGTGGTCGCCCTCCCTTACCTATCCCATCTAGCTTCTTCCTCTAATAAGATAAAAGTCTCTACAAGTTGAATTTAAGCTTTTCTCAATAGATTAACAATTACGTAATAAACTATTATATGTAATTGTGTATTCCCAACGTTCTTAGCTTTGACCCGCAAGAGATTTGCTTCTTTATTGCTATATATAGCATAATCATCCCGAATGAGACTTCTTGATAAGATAACTTGATATCCTATAATACCACACCGCATATCGAAAAAACCGTTCTTTTTTTCTTTTTTACCGGGCATAAAGATTCGTGTTTTGAAAACACGAATGAAGAATGGCGTAAAACACGCGCGCACACATCGTAGAAATGTATCGCCAAGCTGCGTCAGCTGGCGTGTTTGATTTTTTTCTGCAACGTATTATAATCAGGCAATAGTAATATACTCTTCTCTTCTCTCTCTCTCTCTCTCTCTCTCTCTCTGCGTTGCTTTAGATTTACATGATGCCTCTCCGCCTCTCCCACTTTGCTACGCAACAACCGGTTTTTCTTTTTTCTTACAATTGATCACCCGTTGTACGATGCTGAACCATGTTGAGACTACGCATCGGTCATAGATTTATATAAACTCTTTGTTTATGATGCAATACAAAGCCTCTTCTTCTGTTCCCCATTTTTTTACATCCGCCTCGTCCCTTTTAGGAACGAATGCGATAAAGCTCGTTCGTTTTGTAATTTTAATGCCCGTTGCTTATTACGCGCGCGCGAATCGTTTCTGAAGTTTCTGGCGCTTACTGAAGCCCAATTCTTTACAAGAAGGCAGACGCTACGTAACGTGAAATGTCGAAATGTGCGCTCTGTGGGTCCTCGAAGGCACGGAGATCGATGAGACAACTAGACCTAACATTAGGATCAGGATCGGGATCGGGATCGGGATCGGGATCGGGATCGGGATCAGGATCGGGATCGGGATCGGGATCTAGAGTAGGGATAAAATTCAGAGCAGCATTGCTCACTTATAGCTAAACTGCTCCATAAAAAGGTACTAAAGAATATCGTTAAAGATCCGTCAATCGACGGTTCGCTGGTGCATATATGTATAGCGTTATAGTTACTTTAATAATTGCTCGATTTTGCTTCATAATGCGTATTAGATTTGGTCAGACCCGCGCCTCTCGCAATCGCGGATTACGCAGCGTCGATGCAACTCGACAGATTAGCTTCATTAATCATTTGAGCGATATCGCGCGTCTCTAAAGCATTTCTAAAAAAGATTCTGCAGCTTGGAAGTAGAAAAGTACTAGCAAGCGTTTGATATTCAAACATACGACTTTACTTCCAAAGCATAGATTTGATATTAAGATATTGACCTTAGTCTTATGTCACAACATGCATATAATATAATATTAAAACGAACATTGTAAAGTTCCGAAGGGCGGAACTTTACAAGATATGTTCACCCTGTAAATTAGAGACATAAATAGAGATTAACGCTCAAAGGATTAAAACGCGCATCAGAAAGATTCCCACGGGAAACGCTCGCGCGAAAATTAAGAATCGTGTGCTCCGGCGATGAAGACGTTCATAGCTTTAAATCTTGCACACCCACCTGTTCTCCGTGTACCCACCCTCATTGGCCATTTCGGTGCAGCCACTTTATAAGATCAGTCAACTTGTCTACCTATTTTACGTTTACTCATCTATCTATTTATCTATCCGTCCTCCTTTCTTTCCGCTCACAAAAAACACACTGATTTCGTTAGAAGCGTTATCGGCTTCTCTCGCGTTTCCCTTGAGCTCCTCTATCTTATTCCCTCTCCCCCATCTCACGGTTCTCGGCTCTGTTTTTGGCAAGCGCATAAGATCTCTATCTATGACATTTCTTCATCACATAGAATCGTTTCTTCTTACCAATTCCGTGGTACTAATATATGACACCATAAAGTCGAGAATCTTTGTTCATTCTATTTGTTAATCACTGGTATCAAACATTTTATAACATAGAGAATGTTGATGTCATAAACGGGAGCACCCCACTTTGATCACGTTGCGAATGGACATAGTTGAAGTTTGTAGCAAATCTTAATTGCAAAAAACGTATTAATTATATTATAATGGATGAATCAGAAATTCTTATTGGTGAATGCAACGTGATCAATCGCGGTACCCGCTCCCATAAAGTCACGAAAATATACTTCGCAATATTATACCATGGATATCGTGTAATATCACGGATTTATAGCGTTTCTGATATCACGGGGCTATGCGCGAGATTCAAGAAACGCGACCTGAGGGAGAAGGGAGGACAAGAAGATGCCCAATCGACGGTGGTCTACCGCGGCTGACCCATACTGCTGTTACTATTGTTGTTGCCACTATTACTGCTGAGACTCATGTGCGGCTTAAGACTATGTATGATCTTGACGTGGGCGACCATGTTGTCTTTCCTGGTGAATTCTTTGTAACAGACCGGGCAAGGGTAGTACTTGACGTTAGGCTTGTGCGAGGTGACGTAGTGCCGGCAGAAGTTGCTGATGTGTGTGTACGTGCGATGGCACACGGTGCATCGATAAACGTCGCCCTCCTTAACGCAGAAGTCCCGCACCGATCCCTCCGTGCGCTCGTTCTCAGCCTTGAACGAGCCCTCAAAGTCGCTCTGACTGATCTCCGCCTCGCCGGCCATCACGCTAAATATGGCACTGCTTATGCTGTCTTTCGACATCGCCTTCGTTTCCGTTTCTGTGTCCGAGTGGTGCTGTTGCTGCTGCTGATCGTCGCTCATCGACATCGAAGCGGCGGCCGACGCGCCCTTACCCTGCAGCGTCGACGTGCTGAACTCCTTGCGAAAGCATCGCTCGAAGTTGATGCGGATATGAGTCGGCGGTTCACCGCTATCGCCACCGCCACTCGATGTCTCCTCTAATTCTGAAATGAAGAGATCTCGATCCTTTAAATCGCCCTCCATGCCCGCGCGGTATAACGTATTATCGTGCAAGCATTGGATGAGCGGTAGAAGTTCGTTTATCAGAAGATCAATCTTGCGTTAGATTCTTGCGTTAGATAGCAAATTTTTCCGAATGATATTACAAACCGTGGAGTTTTATTAATTCCCTAATTTATTACTTGCGTACTACTATGTATCTCTGACATCGAAGGATTTTTCGTGATCAATTTCTTAATTCGTTCAACTGAAGATTATGTTCCTCACTCAAGTCATCTCTGTATCTTACGATTAAGGTAAGAATACCGTTGCGTAATTGCTTCCAGGGTACGAACTTGGCCGCAGACACTCTGATAAACGGATTTCTACCGCACATCTCGTCACTACATATCACTGTGTATCATTGTGTATTGACACAACGTATTTTCTATATTTGTGGGGGGAAGCAAGAGGAAGGGTAGAGCCAGCAAAAAAGAGTCACCGTGTTTGAATCGGCCGTCTCAGTCAACTTTTGTCCCGCGTTAAAGGATACTTGACGCTGCGACACGCCCTCTCCATGTCGTCCCCGCCCCCGCGCTCGTCGTCTATCCCCCATTAGACTCTTACACTTTCACGCATCCTCTCACGCCGGTTGCAAAACTGACAATTCCCAGTACAACACCAGATAAGTCTGTCCCTTTTTCACCCGGAGTTTCACCACACGAGTCTCTTCTCTCACACACGCGCGTATCTCTTTTCCGCCACGCATCCACCATCACGCGCATCCACCTTCTTCTCGACCCCCTCATATCCACCCACTCATTCACTGAACGAACGTTTCACACGCGCTTGCACACTCTCGCAAACACACGTACAAGCCCACAGAAAATCTGCGTATATACGGGATGTGTCGCGCGACACTTCCATTCCAATTGTAGATTCCGAAGGGAAATTGGGAATTATCGCGGGGAGTCGTTCGAACGTTCGAACGTTGACAAGTTCGCCGTCAAGGACGACGCTCTTCGTGTCATCGAACGATCAACGTCGACCGCTTCGTTAGTCAAACTCTCGTGATCGAACTTGGAAACGCCCGCAGTTTCGAGAACCGCCGACGTTTCAGATATTCGAATAAAGTGCACGTCAAGTATGCGGCTTGTATAAATCTAGAAATGGAAGTGGAAACTGTTCGTCAAACTGGTGTTCTCAGCTAGGAATCTACGATCGGCGGGAAGGTCCGTGCCCTCGTCGGACACACAACCCGTATATGCGTCAGGCGATCACGCATATGCGAAATTGATTAATAAACCATCAACGACACATGTGCACACACTTTAACCACCAACCCCCCCTTTCCAGTCCAGTACGTCCAGTCAGTCTGCTTGTATTCATCTCTACGGGAAAACGATCCATCGAGATCGAGGACGCTCGAGAGAAAAAAAGCAACTCTTTTTTCTTTCTTACGTGTTCCATCCGATTGTAATCTTTATGAAATTCGACTCGAATTTATATTACATATGATTACTTTTAACACACAATATCGTTATCCGTTTTCAACCTCCGGCGTCACATCCCTTTATATCCGGTTTTCTTTTATATTCCGGCACTTTTTCGGAACGTCCGGTTCGGTTCCGTCTTTTCGTTCTATCTATTTATGCATCTATGATTTTGACTTCGATTCCATTTTTTTTCTACATCGTCTTTTTTTTCTAGCGGCTGGCCTCCCTAGCTCCCTCGCTTCCCCCGCGCAAAGCTTAAAATCTTTCAGAATGATGGTGACTCAGATAATCTCAACTCACCTGCGCCAAAAGTGAACAAAGCGATCACGGTCACTATTGAAACGAGATCATCTCCGACGACATCTTCGAAGCACTCTGTTTCTCTCTCTCTCTCTCGCGCGCGCGCACGTTAGTACGTTTTTATAAATAAGAAAAAAATAAAACGTACGTTACACTACTTCTCTCTTCTGATTTCTTTCTTTCTTAGTTTGCCACTCTTCTTTTTATTTTTACAATTTAATCTATCTATCCTGCTTCTACTCTTTACTCTTATTTTGCTATTCATCTTTTCTTATTGTCATCATTGTTATTTAAAAAAACGAGAAGAACGCAAGAGAAGACGGAAACGATAAACCTGCCGACAATGTGTCGTCCGTTGTTTAATTCATCCTTATTATTATCATTATCATCATTATCATCATCATCATCATCATTATCATCATCATCGTTGTCATCATCGTAATCATCGACGCGTTTACGTCTCTCATCTCTTTTCATCTTTTCTGTTTGTCTTTTCGCGATAAAAAAAAAGTGACACTTCTTTATTCTATCTTCCTCGCAACGAACGAGCGTAAAAGAAGTTAACCAGCGTTCAAGGTGTGAAAAATCAGACAACAAAAAAAGTAAGCACCGCTAAAAGCTGGCTCCACCCCCTCCTGTTACCATTGGCCAATGGCAGCGAAGCGTTTTTCCATTCGTGCGGAGAATGAGAGCATGGGTGAAGACAATGTAGGGATGTTAGCGGAGAAAATTTTGGGTTAGGGCCAAAGGTTCGAGACATCGAACAGAGCGACAGGTGCGGTGCGGCAGAAAAAAGATGCAGATTGATGAAGAAGAGGCAAGACAAGGAGATGGCTGATTTTGTGCTACTGAGAACAGGGAAGGAAAAAAGGATAAGAATGAGGCGCTGCGCATTGGCCGAGCGTGAGAATTACATATGGGTTATATTATGTATGTACATATATATGTTTATGTGTGTGTGTGTATATATACATATACATATATACACATATACATATATATACGTATGTATGTATCTAAATGTATCTATATATTTTTGCCCTCGACGAGAACAAGGACTATGCGGCGCGAGTGCAATGGGTTTTATTAGATATTAATTAATTTCGCACAGAAGGGAGTTCTCTGTCCGGATTTCTTTTTTCATAGGTATTATGGTGATAATATTCTAGATTTCGAACGCAAACTTTCGATTAACGACGACTTTCCGTTTCTCTTTTTTTTTCTCTGTCTCTCTCACACACGTTACCTCCCGTTTTATATATCTGCATATCTTTGTTTATTTTTTATTACTTTTCTTTTTTATCTCGATTTTCATCTTTCTTCGCAATTTGAATACCGCGCGCGCGTATCGATATATATGTTATCCCACATGCGGCTATCTTCAGATGCACCACTTGGTTTAGAAAAGGAATTTTTACTGTTGTTTTATCTCATCAAAACATTGCTTTATTTTTTATTTTCAAGTTCTTCCAAACGCAGATTTTTTTTCGTGCGTCGGAATTGTTTTTTTTTCCTATTTCTTTTTCTTTTCATGTGCGTTTTATTTCGAAAATCAGACGCAAGAGATTTCAAAGCGCAGCTAACTTTAATTTAGTTAGCGCGTCGCAATTAAATGGCACCGCGGTTTTTGAAAATGATTCGCGCGCGCGAAATTCGCGTCGTAGAGAACTCAACATTTATGTCGCGAGTCCTGGCTATTTCCTAAAAAGGAAAAAAAAAAAAAAAAAAAAAGACGGACGAAGCGCGCTCGTAGAAGAGCGACAACTGACCGAGCCGCTTGGCAAGACAGCTCGAAAAAAAGTCTGAAAAGTCAAATTCATTAGCAGTACATTAGAATAAAGCGTCGTCCATAAAGCGACAACGACGCGCGTGATAGGGATAGATTCGCGCGAGCATCATCGCGAAGTGTGACGCGAAGTCTTGAGACTTGGTATAATTGATATTGAAGTGTTGATAGCCCTCGGGATCGGGCTTCTGATTTTGAGATTCTCAGACGTCGTCGATCGACCTCGACGAATCGTGCGAGAGAGCCATAAGAGTCGTTCTCACGTAGAGAGTCTACAGCGTCGTCCATAATGCCGTGCAAGGTTCGCTTGCTTGCTTCTCGGGGCGCGTTCACAAGAAACGAATAAGCATTCGGACGGCACAAAAGCGAGTTCTTTCCCCGTCCTTTGGGTTCGCACGGAGAAGAATATATTCAACGAACAATCGTATTTCTGTATTATCCAGAACTGATTAATTTGAATATTAATTTTACAATTATTTAATCAAGCAGTCAATATTATATATAAATATGCAATAAATATTTCTTTTTTTTTAAATTTAGAACAAGATACACGGCAGATCAGGATAATTTAACATTCTTCTCCGCGCTCGCGTTATAGGAATCACATTTCACACCATGCTAAGATATCTGGCGGGGCGATTATTCGCGATTAGACGCACGACTTTATTATTTTTGCATCCGTAAAATTATATGATTTTACTAAAATGCGACTAACTCTCAGACGCACGTTGCATTCAGCGTTACATCTCTTGTAACTTACCTTGCATAATTTTCATAAATGCATCCTCAAAGTCGATTAGAATTATAAAAATGATAAAAAATATTTTCTATGCAACGTTGTGTCCGTTCGAGAGTTAAGTGAAAAACTAACTCGAATAGATTTACGAGTTTAAATTCTAATTCAAATTCTAATTAAAAAATTAAAAAAAGTTTTTTTCTAACGTGAAATCTTAACATCAATAATATATCCAAAGATATAAAATGATCGCAACTTTATCATAGAAAAGAAAAATCAAATCTGTGAAGAAGTTAATATTTTACTAAGTTATATATTTTTGTTGTAAGGTCTGTTGACGACACAATTGTGCATGAATAGTTGTATAATCGATCATCCAATCAATTATAATTTACAATTACATACGCGCACAGCTCTCCGTTTGATCAAATACGTTATGATAGTCGAGGGATGCTCAAGTAGATCGCGCGAAATTTGTCGTTCGCACTGTATCGGAGAGTATTAGCGATGCAAGGCGATTCTGTATTAAAGTTAAGTAAGTTGAAAATCTTACCTTGTTTGAAACCCTCACTCCCTTGCCTACTATGCGGACGTGCGAATGTCTCATCCGAGGCTAGAAATAACAACGATGAAATAAATAATCAATCTCAGCTTTCGAATTTAAATTCAATGTCGTATCACATATCTTTGCGTGTTCACTTTCATACCTTGCGCCGAGGTGCTGGGTGTTGGTTCTGGTTCTCGTTTGACCCGCGTGACTGGTGGCTCCGGCGTGTCGGTGCCATTCTCCGTAGGCTCTTCTCTCCTCGTCGACGATGATCCCGAAGAGGCCGTGGCAACGGCGGGATTATTTGCGGTTGCAGAATTGGCGCCAGCATTGTTATTAGAAGAGGAAGAGGCACCGGCATTTCTCACATTGCCGTTGCCGCTAACCTCGCTCTGAAAGTCCAATCCCATCTTCATTTCCATCATCTCGGGCGAGCCCTGGACTAGATCGGCGCCAGAGCAGGACTGTAGATCCTGACCACCGACTTCGCCAATTGGCGTGTCCGATGAACCACTCAACTTCCTGGGTCTGCCACGTTTTCTCTTAGGTGCCGTCAACGCCGAGCCAAGTAACGGATGGTTGGACATATGATGAAACCTCTTTTGCGCGACATGATGATGATGCGGGCCAATCTGATTGATTCGATGAAGACTGGGCGGTGGTGGCGCCACCGCATTCTGGCTGCCCAATAACGAGGATGTAATGCTTGGTAAATCGCACTTGTCCTCATTCACTTCGGTCAGGCCCTTTATCCTCAGAGACTCTGCAACCCGCAAAAAGGCAGTCAATCGATCCTGATCGACGCTCACCTCACCGCGATACATGAAGTCGAGGAGGCTGCGCATGTCCACATATGGAACATCTTTGAGAATGACTATCGGGTGCTTGTCGGGATGTCCAACGAACAGGGCCTGTAAATACGAATTACCACTTTAAAACTAATTCTTTTTTTAATAAACAACAAATGATAATTTTACAATACTAATCTATTTCTTTAAGAGTTTTATAAAACTGCCAAAAAAAAAAAACTAATCATGATTTATAAGGTCTATTTAAAAGAGTAAATCTATTACAAAATTGTAATTAACTGAAGTAACACAATTTTTTGTTAGCTATAAATTTATTAATTTAAAGTTCGTTAAAAAATTGTTAATCTCTTAATAAATATCAATTAAACGTAAAAGGTCGAACTTACTTGAAAGTAGGGACTACACGCCGACAGCACCATCTTATGCGCCCTGAGTAGCTGACCCTCAACGGCCAGCGTGACATCGACGAACGACTCGTCGTGCAACAGCTGGTCGAAGACGGAGAGCAGATTGCTCTGGTGATTGTTCCAGCGCAGACAAAATCTCTGCGACGCCATCGCTTCGCTTCTCAGATCCGCCAGATTGCCGTTGATATCCGCTAACATGGGGGGACCTAGCTGTTCGTCGCCGCTTTGCCGCCGTTGCCACTGCCACTGCTGCCGCCGCCACTTCGTCCTCGTTCCTTCTTCTGCTTTTCCACACCGCCACCACCTTCTACGACGACGAAGCCGCTCGCTCTTGCTCGTGCTGCTGCTCCTTCTACTACTCGCCCTCGTGCTGCTCTGCTCCTCATCGGCCAAGAATTATCGTGTCCGTCTTACTCGTGATCTGAAACAGAATGACTGACGATTGGTAACATGAAGGAGATATCTTTTTTAAATTTAATTGCCTTTAATTTTAACAAATCTTGAGGAACTTAATTCCAAAATTAAATTCACATTTTTCAAGTTTCGTGCAAGTATGTTAAAAATTTAATAATACGTGATATGTAATAATTGTTAAAAGAATAATTTCTTATCGTTAATAAATATTACGAAAAAAATAATTAATATATCTTCAAATTAATTAAAATTATATTAAAATAATAAAATAATAAAATATTAAAATAATAAAATATTTTGGACTAAATAATAAAGAGCGTTGAAGTGAAGGTGTCCTAAACGTCTAAAATTGTAAATGCGACTCTAAATAAAGGAAGGGGATATGAGGATCCAGGATGGACGTGGGATGTACGACCCTGGAGGACGTAGGCAGAAAGCGAATAGGCGAGTCGCTCGGCTCGTGTGTGCCTTTTATGCAATTCTCTCCTCTCACCCCTTCCAATCACGGTCATCGCGTACGTGACATTTTATCTCTAGATGAGAGGTGAGAGACAATCTATTAAAATTAAATGGAGATGAAATTATTCTTCTCCACTTCCAATATTTAATTTGCAATTTCTTCTCCTTCTATGTATTTATAATATGTATTAATATATTTTTTATTGAAACTGTAATTAATTAATATCAAGTAGAATACTTCATTAATTATATCTGTTATATTTGCAGTATGCATTGTAACATTTGTGAATATTTTTATGAAGATCTTTTAATAGATTATTGTCATTCGTTTAATTTTGATTCAATCTATTTTTCAATAACTATAATTATTCATACGAGATTTTAAGATCCTTCACTGCATCTGCGTGTATAACGCACTATATTAAATTTAATGTAATACATTTATTGTACAGGAATGTGTGCACATAATAAGGTGTAAGGTGAAAATAACAGAAGAGGAAGGCTTCTGTCTCTCCTGTCGGATCGTCGCCATGGAGAGAAGAGGTCGTCGGGTCGGCCGAGGGAATCAATAGCATTTTCTACGCATTCGGATCGATACCGGGTCCCGCTGGTGCTTTCGCACGCAAATCACGCTACATATAGAGTATGTAGAGACGGCTGCATCTGCGCGAGGCACAAAGATAAACCAACAGAATCTTCCTGATCCGATGTAAAATGAAACGGCGGGAAAAAAGGAAGGATATAATAAATTCGAAATTGCTTGAAAATAAATCAGAAGTGAATATTAATTCGAGGGTATATACGATTGAGAATTATATAATCGCTGTAATATTAGTGCAACAAGGTAATTCTGTAATTCTTCTCAAATATCGACTCGCGACATCATCCACCTGCATCGCGCATATATGCACACACATACACATGCACGTCGCTGCATATGGCGTGTATGGATGCAGGATGGTTGCGCGACCTTGTGCGACCTTGTCGGTGACCAGAGCGCGAGTGTACGTACGGTTTTCACGGTGAATGGCAGCCGACACCATGGCGAGGTGAGACGAGGCGGTGCAGCGCCCGTGAGTGAGAGAGAGAGAGAGAGAGAAAGAGAGACGCGAGATCGACCTTTAACGATCGAGATCGGCGACTCTACCGGGGGAACGCGTCGAATTAAATTACGGCATCTGAGGGGTATCAATTAGCCCGCGAAAGCGGAAAACGCCCGCGGCGAGATCGGATTATGCGACTGAATATACATAACGACGATCGCGTCGCGATATCCGCGGAGCTGGCTGGCTGGGGAAGACCCCGGGGAATTCACAATATTGATTCAATGACAATTCTGAAACGTTTAAACGCAGTGATAATTTAAAAAAAAAAACATCTTGCATGAAATTAATATACAGCACATAGATTTCGTGATTAAGAAATGCAGTTCTGCTCGTAATATTTAATAGATTGAAACGGCAATCTTTTGCGTGCGATATTTCTAGAAATTGTTAAAATGCGTTAACAATTCATCACGGAAAAATATAAAATATGTATTAGTAAATAAAATAAATATTAATAAATAAATTAGATTATTACGATTTTGTTTGAATTTTATTTCGCAATGGTTTGAATTGTTTTCTGAAGTCTCCGTTGCACAAATTATTCGTGTGATCAGGGCACTTTCACATGTTACGTATTCCTGCATCGTTCACTCGTGCGACAAATTGATTTTCGCGTTATCCAAAACCTGACTTTGTCAGGGAAATGGAGACAGAAATAAACCCCGTGTGAGCACCGATCAATGGTTAGTCCCGTCGAAGTTAACATAACTAAATTCCACGTCACAAGTTTAAATTTTATGTCATAAACGCAATTTGGATCAAGTTCCTTTGGAATCAGCTTTGATGAACGTCTATATCATATATTTTAAGCGTCAAACGGCGCTATTTTCCAAAACATCGATATGGTCTATGACGACTAAAATATTATGTTCGCTAGATATCGATACCGATTTATACTTTGCCCTTTATGCCGAGCGAAGTCTCTTTCGCGGCATAATTGATTATATCTCTTATTGACGCGAGTGGCCGCTATTGGGGTATCAGTGTCTCAATTTCTGCGAGAAGGTACCTGACGAGAGAAGGACTCGTCGGTAGACGTAAATGAAGATCACGACAGTGTACACAACTGTGTTCTCCGAAACGCAGCGCGCGCGAGTAAAAACCGGCACCGAATGTCGCGGAGGGTCTCTCGCTCTCGTGTTTACTTAGCCGCTCCGACACTCGCGCGATACTCGGCCGGTTTC